CAGGGCTCCCAAAGAGAATGTTCCAAGAGACCTAGGCAGAAGTTGCAAGGCATCTTATGACCCAGCTTCAGAAGTTCCAGAATGCCACTTCTGCTGAAAATTGTAATGGCAAGCGAGTCACTAAGACCGACCCAGAATGAAGGCTCAGGAAGTGCTTAAGAACATAGGCTTGCTGACTACATTTGTAGTATGATTCTACCACTGCTAGCTAAGAAACCCTGAGAAAGTTTACTTAAATTCTTTGAGCCTCAGTTTTCACATCCATAAAATGGGAATATTAATAATAGCATCTGCCTCTTATGGCTTACGAGAATTAAGTGATTGTTCATGACTCATATCAGTGCCCGCTGTCAAAACGCCTGCTCATGATCACCAATATTTGTAGTTTCCTTTTCTTCCTGGGCATCCTGCTAGACTACATTTCCCAGCATCCCTTCACTCAGGTATGACCATGTGACTGTGTTCTGGCCCATCGAAGTAGAAGGGAAGTGACATATCTGGCCTCCTATATCCCCTCTGTGCTTGCTCCCCCCACCCACCATCAACCTGTGTAGTGAGAGAGAAATAAAGTTTTGTTTGTGAGAGCCATTAGTCTGCCATGACTAATACACTGGCAACTAATAAACTCAGTTAAAGTTAGCTATCTGACCTCTCTGCACCTGTGTTCTCATCTGTATAATAGAGCGACAGGATTAAATGAAATAACGTATAATTTTACTTATGGGCTTAGCTTCTCTTTGATCACAGTTATTTCATCTAAACACTATAAACTGGGTTATCATTACCTTTTTCTTGAAGCAAAATTATCTGTAATAAAGCCTCTTGAAGATTTTGAAAGGATAATGTGAATTTGCAATACTTTAGGCCTGAAGCCAGTAATAATGGTATCATTTTAGTTCAGAATACTTCCTAAAATCCATTTGATGGTAGATTTCAAAATGTACATATACAGATTAGAATGTTTCTAATTTTTAAAATAAGTCAATTTATTTTTTATTTTTAAAATTAGAAAATATTTTTTTAATTACAAAGAAAAAGATATAACAAATGCCTATATTCCCACAACTCAATATGGTCAAATCTTAACATTTGGCTATATTCGATTTATGATTTTTTCCTAAAGAAATAAAGCATTATGGATGAAACCTAAAAAAAGAAAAATAAATGATGTATCTAACGCACTTAGCATAGTGCCTGGCATTTGCAAAGCAGTCATTAATTGTCAGGAAATTTTTTAGCTTTTATTTTGAAATAATTTTACAATTACAGAGAGTTATAAAGATAGCAGAGACATTTCTTGTATACCCATCACCCATCTTCCTCTAATGTTAACTTCTTACATAACCATGGCATATTTGTCAAAGAAATTAAAATTGATATAACGCTAACAACTAAACCAAAGACTTTTTTCAGATTTCACCAGTTTTTCTACTTATGTCCTTTTCTTGTTCTAGAATCCAATCCAGGATATGATGTTGCATCTAGGTCAACTAATTTTTAATCATTCATTTAATTTATCCAACATACTGAGAGCACTACCAACTTTTAGTCCAAGACTGGGGGTTCTGAGTAGCAGATGATGCCAGGAGCTCCTGTACTATGTACCATGACAAGAATCACAGCTCTCATTTTTGAAAGCTGGCCACACGTTGTACAAATTTTATATCCCCCACTTAATCCTTACAACAATCCTATATGTTGGCTATTATTAGTCCCATGTTACAGATGGGGAAACTGAGGTATGGAGAGATTAACTGAGGTCACACACCTGGAAGATTAACAGACGTAGGATTTGAACCCAGGTCATCTGGCTCTAAAGTCATGCGCCTAATGGTACCCCACTCCTTTCATGAGGCTGCTCTAGAGAAGAGGGGGAGTAGATGCATCATCATAGAATTCCCAGGGCAAGTGTGGCGGGTAGGAAGCCTTCCTGGAAGAGGTACCCATCTGGAGCTCAACCTCTGTGTCCTTGGTGCTCTGAAAAATGTTTGGCTTTTTCACCGCCTGCCTTCTCAGGGCTTCTCTCCCTCTTCCTCCTGTAGCCCTAGATTCTGAGCCCAACCCTCAGAGCCCCAGGAAGGTGGTGACCTGCTGAAACTCAAGCCCCAGAGTGTGGCTTTGTCTCAGGCCCTGGACACCCCGCCCCAGCCAGCCAGCAGAGGCAGGTGGCCCATACTCAGTAGACCTCGATGCTGATTTAGAGATTGGCTTCTAGAGCCACTATTTTGGGTCCCACTTATGGTACATGAGCAAGAAATATCAACAAGGGCTGAATTGTCAGGCAGAGCGGGGATCCAAGAAAATCGAAGGTGGGCAGTTTGGGCTACTAAGTTGGGACTAGCTTGGTCTGCTCTGGAGAATTATAGGCCTCAACAACCTGAGGACGAACTGAGAGTAATTCTCCATCCCTAGATTGCGGAGAGACTCTGCCTAGCTGGGCACAGCAGCAACAGCCCTCCCGCCATTTTCTGGCTTTGGAAAAGGCCCAGAGAGCACCTGAGGCAGCCAACAGCCAGCTGGGATTTGAGCCAACCAAGTGCTGCCGGGAGGACAGCAGAGGCACTGACTGGGCAATACCTGCCCTTTGAAGCCAGAACCCAGATCCAGGAGGCAACGTTCGGCCCTATTTCATCTTCTCTGAGCCTCAGTTTGTTCATCTGTAAAATGGGGATATTACTTCCTACATCGCAGAGAAGGCGGCATATGTTTGTGCAGTTTATGAACTGCAGAAGGAATGAGTGGGGACTAAAACACAGCCTGCGTTCAGCTCACTCAGTTGAGTAACCTGACTTGGAGTTATGTCTCTGCTTGGGAGGACGGGACACCTTTTCCTTCACCAAGTCCAGGAGTGCTTCTGCCTGAGAGGCTGGTTTGCGCAGAGGCGGCACCTTCTTTTGATTTGCACAAAGGAAAAGCACTTGCCCTCTGGAAATAGACCAGAAGACAGGAAAGGGCCAAAGCTCCTCAAGCCCCCAGGATAGAACAGAGCTGGCTCCAGAGAGCCTTGGTGGGGAGCGAGGAAGGGGTTAAATATGGCCCAAGGGGACAAGACAGCTGGGAAGAGAGTGTTAGGGTGACCAAATGGTGAGATGCTGCATGCAGGTAGAGCTGGGAGGAGAGCACCTACCCTCTGGAGGCGGACCTAGTCCTGGGGCTAGCTGGGGTCCACACCCCCTAGTGGCCTCTGTAGAGAGGGCGGAGTGGCAGTGGTGCCAACCTATGGCTGCTGGTCCACAAACCACAGAGCTGTACCTGATGCAGGGTCATAACCAGAGAGTTTGGGAGCCATGAGGATATTGAGCCCAGGAAAAGCCTGGTCAGAGACAGCCAGTTGGAAAAGAATGGCAAGGCACCAGCTGATTATAATTTGGAGTGCTGAGAATACCACGAGGGGTGGATGGACATTTCGATAGCCCAAGGAGGAGTACTTCTCTCAGATTGGGGGCGGGGGTTGGAGGAGTTGTCTAGAAGGGCTTCCCAGAAAAGACATCTAAACTGAAACCTCAGGGAAGCCCCAGCAAAGAGTGTTGAGAGTGGTGCATTCAGGTGGTGCAGCCTGAAGCATATGCAAGTTACAGAGGTAAGAGAGTGTATTGCATTCTGAAAGCTGCAAGTGGATTTACTGTTTCTTAGTGATGTGTGCGTGAGAACAGAATTGAAGGAGAAAGGCTGGAGGTATAAGAAGTCCTCAGACAATGAAGCATCTTTAGACTTTTTCAAGGTGTTTGTGCTTTCAGATTGTAAGCAGGGGAGTGACATGATCAGATTTTTGTTTTAGTAAAATGTCTGTGTGGAGATTGGAGGGGCCAGGCTAGAGGCAGAGAGACTATCAGTGGGCTGTTGCAAGAATCCAGGCGAGAGGTGAGGGTGGCTTGAACTTGAGTAGTCACAACGAAGATGAAGTTAGTGAGCAGATCCAAGTGGTATTGAAGAGATAGAATCCATAGATCAACTGGATGAGAGGGACACCCATCACTGACTTGGGGAACGGTGCCTATCAGACTAGGAAGAGGAGTGGGGTCTGGGTGAGGGTGATGAAAAGTTCAGCTTAATGTAAAGTGCAAGGTCAGTATTCAAATGAAGGTGGCTAGTGGGATACAAAGGCTTTGAGCTCAGGAGAGAATCAGGCCAGCCATAAGCGTTTGGGAGTCATCGGCCTAGAGAGGTAAACTGAGGCTGTGGGAGCAAGAGGATCCTCAGGAGTGCGGGGACGCTCAGGGAGAGAAGAGGCAGAGGACAGAACTCTGAGAAACCTTGAAACTGAGGCTGTGGGAGCAAGAGGATCCTCAGGAGTGACAGAACTCTGAGAAACCTTGATGTTTATAGGTCAGCTGGAGGAGGCAAGGGCCAAATAGAAGCAGCCAGAGAGGCAGAAGGAAAGGCAGCCCATTTAATCCTCATAATACCTTGTACCACTTACAGGTGAGGAAACTGCGGGCTTTTACAGTGTTTTATTAGGGCACAAGTACTAAAAATCTCAGAGTAAATGTTTTCCTCTATCATATAACTGCCCTTTGCCTAGGATTTCTGGGTTAGCTCCTCCCCAACCCTTATCTTCTCGTTTAATGCCTCTGTTTCTTAGGTGTCTGTAATTTTAGTCAGTCCTTTTGAAAGTAGAGTGTAAATTAAAAGTTACCAGATGCTATTTGTGTACAGAAAGTTTTGATTGTCAGTTTTGGATAGGGTGGGCATGGAGAGGATGATGATGCATCGAACCTTGTTTTTTTTTTTTTTCAGACGACCTAGATCTTGGGTGATGGTGTGAGGACAAGATGAAGAAAAGGTTGGCTAATTCTCAGGACTGGTACCCCACTCCTCCCTCTTGCATCCAAGGCTGGTAGCACTAATTGATCCTCACCTGCCCTCCTTCTTCATGAAGCCTTGACAGGGACTCAGACTCTTAGGCTGTCATCTTGCTGAATCAGAGCTGGCAAGCCTTCTGGAACCTCGTGCCGTCCCTGGAGTAAGCCACCACCCCCACAAACTACCAAAATGTCTCCTGTCTTTATTACGATGAACCTTTTATTATAGAGACAGACTGAACTCTCTTTTGCATAAAGAATCTCTGGATTGGGTCAGGAAAATCCACTCACTAAAAGTTACCACCCAGCTCTCCCTGCCTCTGCCTCAGCTAAGCCCCCACTTACTATGTACATTTCAAGGTCACTGGGAACAGCAGAGGCTGCTGTTCCCAAGGCCAGGCTGGTTGGGTCGGGCCATGCTGGCCGGAGGGTCAGGGCTTCTGGCTGCCCACCAGCTCAGAGCCGCCCTGTCTCCCGCCCCAGTCGGTTGTCCAGAACCTGGAGCTGCCGGAGGAAGCCCGAGTTGGGGCAGATATCACGGTGGGCCTGCACCGTCTGGATGGCCTCCACCAGCGTCATGTTCTCGTAGATCATGAGGAAGGCAAGGACAACTGTGGCAGAGCGGCTCACCCCCATGGCGCAGTGTACCAGCACGCGGCCTGCGGGAAGACCCAACCTAGCATCAGCTACCTGCCCTCATACCACCCGCCCTTTTGGGAATCAGAGATCCTTCTGGCCATCCTTCAGTGTACCTATTCCAGCATCCAGCAACTGGGACCCAGAGACGAAAAGGACCTGACTTACAATCGCACAGCAAGTGAGTGGCAGAGCTAAGGTTAGCAGCTGAGATTCCCTTCTGCTGATTCAAGGTGCTTCCTCTGGCAACTCTGGTGGGTTGGTGGAGGGTTGGTGGGGGGCAGTACTCCTGGAGACCCCTGGGGTTTTGACAGATTACAGGGAGTGTCTATCTCCCTCTTTCCCCACAATTCTGCCTTCTCCCCTGCCACCCTATGACAAGCCTGCTCAAGAGCCTTGGCTAAGTCCTGTACAACAACACCCAGTCTCTTACTGACAGATACTGATGACCACACTGGACCTTAGTTATGCCTGTGACTATTGGTTTCCAAGGTGTCCCCAAAGAGGATGCTCACCAAATGGTAGCAACTGTTTGTCCCATAGGGTGGGAGGGTTGCTGGGGAGGTTTGTGGCCCAGATACTCCATCTATCAGTGCTACTGGAAAAATGGAGAGCCCCAGGTCGCACCCCCACCTTCGCCTCCACCCCAGTCCTTTCTCCAGGAGCTCACCTTGGGGAACACTGAGGGCAGTTCGGATGTATCGAGCAACGGGCAGAAAGTAGACACTGAGGTCGAAGAAGGGGTTGTCATCCGCCTCGATGCCATAGTACTCCAAGGGCAAGCCATGGTAAAACTTGGCACCTGTGTCCACCTGAAACTTGCCTGCAGCGACATTCACAACATGGGTGATGCCCAGCTGGATCAGCTTGCTCTTATCCCGGGCTGCATACCTGGAGAGAGGGAACAGGGGGAGTTGGGAGGTGGGGGTAGATCTCACTGGGTCAGCTCTGGTTGGGCTAGAACTTGCCCCCTTCCCTCCTCTGCCACCTCCCTCCAAGGGTAGAGTTTGGAACCAGCGAACTGGCCCGGGTTAGAGTTCAAGACTTCCTTTCATTCAGGCCAACTTTTCTGCAGAATAGTTTGAGCACATGCATCAAAAGCCTTAGAAATGTACACATACTTTGCCCAGCAAGTCTCCTTGTAGGAACTTAATTAAAGAAAGAATCTAAACTGTGTTCACAGACATGTAAACTGGATCTAATGATATTTAAGATGGTGAAAAACCAGGGGGATCACTAAATATCCTCTGATAGGTAAATGAAGTACTATGCAACCACTAAGATATAGTAGATGACAGGTAAACAAGGAAAGGTGTCGGTGTATATTGAGAAATATGCAGAATACAAAACTGTGAAAAATGTGGAATACAAAACAAAATGTTTAAGAATGTTTTAAAAATATATAATATGACTCCATCTAAAAAGCTTTCTATATAAAGGGACTATAAAATGAAACCATTTTAGTAAAAAAAAAGTGAAAAAGCGTTTATGTATGTATGTGTGTATGTATTTTTAAAAAGTCAACGAGAGTTTTATTACTGGTTATCTGTAGGGGTATAGCATATTTGCCATATTGTTAGCAAGATACTGATCCATATTTTCTAAATAGTAAGGAAAATTTCTAAAATCCACATCTATTGGTCTGTATGTTATGAATTCTAAGAAAACTTTTAGGGAAAATGACTCACAGTCCCACCCTGTACATATACTCCCTCAAGAAACCCATGTGTGTTCCCAGGACACATGCACTAGAATGTTTCTAGGATCGGTGTTCATAATAGCCTCAAAGTGGAAACCACTCAAATGTCTATATGAACGGATAAACAATAGAATGGGTAAACTATGGTGTGTTGTACAGTTGAATAGTATACAGCAATGAAAAATGAATGGCTGCTGCTACATGTAATAAATAAGGGTGGATCTTACAATTTTGAGCAAATTATGCCAGGCACAAAACACACACTATGATTCCATTTATATAACTTTAAAAGACAGACAAAATGAATCGTTAGGTACATAAGTGGTAAAACTATAAAGAAAAACCAGAAAATAATTGTTTCAACACTTAGTGGTTCTCTACAGGAAAAGGGTTATGATGAAAAGGGTTCAGTGGTGGCTTCTAGGGCACAAGTCATGTTCTATTTCTTGACCTGGGTGGTAAAATAACATAAGCTCTACGCACTTTTCTTATGTGTGTTCTACTTCCTTGATTAAAATAATATAAAAGGGAAGAAACATGTGCAAAGTGATAGTGGGAGGTGAGCAGGGGCCGCCTGTGTCCCCGCCCACCCAGGGCTCTAGGAGAGGCTCCCCTTCTGCTCCCTCCACCCTCCTACATGGGCTGTACTTACGCATCTCCCAGGAAGAGGTTGGGCCAGACCTCGTTGATGTGGCTCAGCGTGGCGGCCCGTCGGACCCACAGCAAGCGCTGCAGCGAGGACAGTGTAGGCGGCTGGTAGGGGGCCCCTCGGACTGCCCCGTGGATCTTGGGCCTTCGGAGGTCCTGCTTCTGCAACGAGTCCATCCTGGAACACAGCGGATACCACGGTGGTTGGAGGCAGGTTCCCCGAAGGTGGTTCCAGCTGACCCAGAAGCCCGGGAGCAATGCAGAGCCCAGGCGTCCTTGGGACGATGCGGGAAGGGCCTCAGCTAGTTTGCATGAAGTTGTTAACCAGGTCAGCTGAGGCTGAGGCCTAGACCCTTTCCTAGGGAACAAGGGAACCAAAAACTTGTCACCGCCGTGGGGCTGAGAAGCCCTCTCTCCTGCCTTCACTCCTTAAGTTGTGGGTCACTTGAGACTTTGTAGGAATGGAGACCTCAGATGACTGTGGCTCTCAATGACTCAGGCCACTCATCTCAAGTCCCTTCCTCTGCTCCTTCCAGGGCTGGTCCTCAGGTCCCCATCCCCTCCCAGTTCCAGGTGCTTGGAGAGCGGAGCCCATCTGTGAAGTGAAAGGCCTAGACTATGAACATTCATTAGCAGTTCCATAGTGAATGAGCTGATGCCTCATGTGGTAGGTCCTTATTTTACAGAGGAGGAAGCTGAAGCTCAGAGATAATTTTTTTAAGTGATGCCCAAAGCCATATGGCCGATGCGTAGCAAGGCTGCAGTTTCAATCGTTTTGTGATCCTGCATTTCTGTCCCCAGGCCTTCCAGTTACCATCTTTGGGGGCTCCAGAGAGTGGTCATTAACCCATTCATCTTTACGGGGGAGCCTGGTGTTGCTGTTCCACATCTGCCTATAGATCCTGGGAATTCCCTCCTTACCCCCACGACTCAGGCAAGCGCTGCAGGTCAGGCCTCGCCCAGGTGGGGCGGTTTGTCTCAGGAAGCAGCTGGCCGACGGAGTCCGGGACCCTGCAGAGCTGGGACGTCAGTGGCACCAGAACACGAGTCTGCTGCCGTGCTGGGAATGAGTTCCTATCTTGACTAACTGTCCCTGGCCCCCTCAACCAGTGACTGGGGAATGTACAAACTGGGAAAAACATCTTTCCTCTTTGGTAGGCGGTGCCAGGACCAGAAAGAGAAACAGGCACCCAGGAGGCCACTGGCTTGGCCAAGCTCACCCAGTGGGCAGCTGGTAGGCAAGGTGGAAGTGAAGACCCAGCTTTCCCCTTCATCTTCCACTATGACCTCTCAGGGCAGGCTGCGTGGCCTGCCACCTACCTAAGGCATGGTCTGGGACCAGAAGTGGGGGAGTGGGTGTAGGGACAGGACTTAGCACGGGAGCGGAAAGGGCCGGGGGCAGGTTCCGCCCAGAACACAAACACTGTGAAGCGGCTAGAATTCCAGGTCCTCCCCTTGGAGCCCATGGGGGTGGGGCCTGAGAGCAGACCTAGGCCACGATGGAGGGAAGCACAGTTCTTCCAGGCTCCTCTCTGCTTGGCATCTCTTTGGGATTAAAGGCTCTTGGGCCTGGAACTCCCCACAGAAGTGGGAGGCTACCCGAAGTAGTGGGAAGAGAACTTTAGAGGAAAGGAGGAAAGCCTGGCCACCATCCATTCTGTGGCCTCAAGCAAGTCTTTGCTCCTGTGCTGGCCACATTCCTCATGTTAAAGATCCTGGCCTTTCCTGACTGAGGAGTCTCTGGGGGTCTGATCTAAGAATGAGAGAGGAGTGGCTGGGTATGCAGCAACTATGAGTTAGAGAATGTTGGAGTCGGGTAATCCCTGAGGCCCCAGGGTTGTCCAAAAGCCATACTGGTCTGGAGCCATCAGCTGGGGCTGCTTGAGCCCCAGCTGGGCCAGTCTTAGCAAAGCCTGGCAGGCCTGGGCTCAGGCCTCTGAGTTTGGCATAGGGTAAGGCTGCCCCCTGGTGGCCAGTGGGTGTCTTGCAGCCCAGCTGTGCCTGGGAACGGGCAGCCAGGTTCTAGTAGAGCCAGCTGGACCTTGCTCCTTCTGGAGGCTCCTGGGCAGAGGAGGAGAAGGCAGAGGGGTCAGGCCACAGCCCTCCCCTCAGCCTCCTTAGGAGACCCAGGCCCAGGTCTGGATAATGCGGCCTTTCCTTTGGAGTAATGGACCCTTTCCTTTGGACTTAGGGGTACTACTTTCAGGTCCCATCAAGGGCCTCACTCCTGATGCTCATGGATGCACCCCCTACCTGCCTGCTCCATTCCACTGATGGCCCAGCCTACCTTGCCAGCCTGTGTCAGGCTCAGCACCCTACCCAGCGACTCATCCTTCAAGTTTCAGGCACACCCAAGAAAGGGAAGTTAGTGGCTACAGCAGCTCCCCTGGTTTCTGCTGGCCCCAGACCTGGGCTGACAAGGACCTTGCCTGACAATTCCTCCCACATCTCCTCGGCCACCAGAGAATGAAGCAGGACCCAGCCTCTAGCAGGGACAGGGCTGGCCTGGTTCTCCCCCCAACTCACTCTAGCCCTCATTCTGCCTCCTTCCTGTGACTCCCGCTAAGCTGAAAAGCTGCCTCTGTAGGCAGCAGTTTTCCTGCTCTAATGTTGCAGCTGTTTGCAAGTTCAGACAGTTGTTTTCTGTCTGTGTGTCTCTGCTCCTCTCTACATTGCTCTACTGGCTTCTTCTGTCTTCCACCTCTCACAGGAGCTCATGCTGCTCCACAGCCTACATACCGGTGGCCTTGGGCCAACGCACAGGACTTCTCAGGGCAGAGGGGCAGCTTTTTGCCATACACCTCCTTAGTTGCAGCTCCAGGAGATGTTCTTCCTGACCTTCCCTCCTACCCACTCTCTTTGCCTCTTCCTCCCCACCAGGAAGACCAGATGGGACTGGAGGTCTCAGGGCAGGACAAGTGAAGAGTCTGGTGAAGGAAGCCTCGCCTTGAGGAGGATGGCAGGCGAGCTGCCAACTGTGAAATGCCAGTGGGTCTGAGCACTCAGTGTCCCTGCCTGGGAGGAGGGCAGACCTGGGCAGAGTTCTTAAGTCTGGTGCTTGCATCTGTGTGGGCTTCTCTGAGCCCCATGCTGTGAGAGTCCCATGAGATAATAAAAATAGGGCACTTCCCACAAGGTCTGCCTCATGGTAGATGCCCGATAAATGGTGGGTCTTACTATTATTATCACTACTATTATTACTCTTCCCCTTTCAAGCCTCAGCCATATCCTGGATAGAGGGTAACTTCCCCACAGGACAGCAAAGCTTGTTCTTTATTTCTGTGTTTCCTGATGTTTCTTTCTCTGTCTAATGATGATTATTGTTATATTCACCACTAACTAAAAATGTACTATGTTCCAGACAGAGCTAAGTGCTTACATTTTCACATTGAACCCTCACAGTATACTTATGAATCAGGTAATATCCCTATTCTACAGATAAGGAAACTGAGGCTCAGAGAGATTAAGCAATATGCTGAAGGTCACACAGCAAATAAGCATGGGAGTCAGGATTCAGGCCCAGGTCTTTCTGACTCTACTATGCCTTTGCCTGTGCCTCTATCTCTGACCCAGTCTATCCCCCAATGTAACCCAATCCCCTCCCTGCCCCCACCACCACAACACACACAGGCACAGGTGTCCTGGCCCTCATCAGCCTGCTCTGTCCACCCTCCCCCCAAAAAATTGGGGCACTCACCCACCTGTGGGGGTTTCTGGCCCAGGCTGTGGTCTTCTCTGACGGACACTTTGTGCCGCTGATTTCCAGCTGCTTGTCTCTGCACACTTGATGCTGTTTCTATTTTTTGATTTGAGTTTAATTATAAAGCATGATGTGCTGCTCCCCTCTTGTGGCCTCCCCCTGCCATTCCCCAAGCCCAGCCAGGCACCTGACCCTTCTGGGAGTAGAGGCAGCCCAGGAGGGATTTGCCTGTGGTATATGTGTATGTGTATGTCGACTGTGGGGCAGGGAGAAGGAAGATCAGATAATCCATTTTTATAGCTCCCTTGGTGGTGTGGAGATAGGCAGAAAGTTAAAGCTGGAAGGATCTTCTACAGAGGAGGACAGAGGAAAAAAACAGCCAAAATCACACACACACCCTGGTGGTATCACCAACATCAGAGCTCAGGCCCAGGGCCCTTTAGTTGGGAGCTGAGGATTACAGGACTGGCCCAGGATTAAGAGCTAGAAGACTCAGGCCGAGGGAAGCATGGGAAGTCAGACAGACAAAGGTATAAGTGGGGTTCAGAGCGGGTCTTTAGACCAGCCCTGGCCTGCAGTCAGAAGCTGTGTGTCTAGAAGCCACTCTGCCTTCCA